AGGATAAACCAAACCAAATTTGTGTTGAAAAATAGATGCTAAGTAAAATCATATTTGAAAGGTTAATCCATCCCTAATTTTGGCAAACCGTATATCCTAAGAAAATGCTTGTTCATATGTTTCAGCATTGGACACACTGTTCCTTTACAGTATACATTTTGTGTGCATTTTTGACAAACTTGTTAAGTGAAGAATCTCATTGCTAAAAAGCACAGTGGTCAAAGTATATCTACTTTCTGTTTGCTTGATGCCTTAGGAAATATGAATTAGGAACCTTTTTATTGAAACTCATATCAGATTTCTCTTCTATCCATACCTACTTCGTTTTCACAATACAACAGTTATTCATTGATAAAATACTATATATTTAGAGCTGCTTCATTTATTATAACTTCTAAGGACCTTACAGGAAGGTTTTGGCTGAATAACCACAATTACCTGCATTTGAGTATAAAGTCACAGTGCTTGTAAACTGTGTTACGCTGTTTTACAGTAGGTATATAGATTTTTTTTTTTCCAAATCTTGTACTAAAAGTTTGTCAAAATGGAACAAGTGCAGACAGATGTAAGATTAGAAAAATAATAAATCCAGGAATCGAATACTACTGGCTGAATTTGTAGCAAATGATGGGCTTGATTTATATAATGTGAGTCACAAAGAGAAAGAGGAGAGAGAGCTACCACCTGCCATCTGAAGCACTATGGTTTATCAAGTTTTAATAGGGGCAGTGGCTGAATTAATTCTCATTTTTGTCTGGCATAGTACTGGCACAGCATAACTTAAAGCAGTCAGATTTCTCTATGGGGAAACCCTTTGGGGAAAGAAAAGCCATTCAATTGTATTCAGCGCCACTTCTGGCACATAATCTTTGCAGTAAGTGGCATAACAGCAGAGAGCAAAGAGTTTCCTGGAGTAAAATGCCATGAATTTCTAGAGAGTGCAATGGCAGTCTGCGAAATAATTCTGTAAATCTCCAGATCAATTATCGAACTACATTTTTAGAGGAAAAGGTTTGGAAACTCTGACCAAGAAAATGGGCCGGTTGGGCTGGCAAATGGGAGGAAGTAAGGAAATAATAAAGTCATTCACAGAGGGATGGTGGTTTAAATATTAATAACTCATGTAAGATGATCTGTAATAATTTAATAAACAATTCTAGAGGAATATGGCAGAGAAATCTTGAAACTAAATATAGAGACATTTGCAATAATGGTTTTAATATAGTCCTTTCCCCCAGATTGCAGACTTTTATTTCATTACTGAATAAAACTATAGTATGATAAGCCTATAGTGTCTTAATGCAACCACAACCTTAGTTTATTTTAGAAATGTTAGGCTAAACAGGAACTTCTTTCCTGCATGATTGCTTTGATCAATTTATTATCACTCGGGTCTGCTTCCATTGGATTGAAGAAAATGCCCCATTAGTTACAGACTAACTATAATTGGCCAATGAAGTCCTGTGTAGATGTTTCTTATCCCGAATTGGGGATGGAGGAGCAGCTGCAATTATTCTTCCTTGCCTTCTATATGGAACTATGTATACCTAATGCATAAAGAAGAATTGATATGGGAAACTATGAGGCTATGACGACTACCCTTAGGCAAGAAAAACCCAAAATACACATATAGACTGGGTGAAACCAGGCTTAATAGCAGTAACTGTGAGAGGGATGTTGGAGTTTTAATGGACAACCAATTAAATAGGAGTTAACAGAGTGTGGCGGCAGCCAAAAAAGCCAATGCAATCCTGAGTTGCATTAACAGAGGGATATCAAGATCAAGTGAGGTACTAATACCACTTTATAAAGCTTTAGTAAGACCACACTTAGAATACTGCTATAAAACATGTTGAGACTCTAGAAAAAGTACAGAGAAGAGCAACCAGGATGATTAGGGGACTGGAGACTAAGGCATATGAAGAACGGTTACAGGAACTGGGCATGGCTAGTCTAGTAAAGAAAAGGACCAGGGGAGACATGATAGCAGTGTTCCAATATTTGAGGGGCTGCCACAGAGAGGAGGGGATCAACCTATTTTCCAAAGCATCAGACAAGAAATAATGGATGGAAACTGAACAAGGAGAGATCCAACCTGGAAATAAGGAGAAATTTTCTGATTGAAAAGAGAGCTGTTCGATTTGTTGAGAGCAGTCAACCAATTGAACAGCTTGCCTTCAGAAGTTGTGGGAGCTTCATCACTGGAAGCTTTCAAGAAGAAACTGGACTGTCATCTGTCAGAAATGGTGTAGGGTCTCCTGCTTGGGTAGAGGAGCTAGACTAGATGACTTGTAAGGTCCCTTCTACTTCTGTTAATTTGTAAATCTATAAATTATGATCTTTAACTAAAGGTTGCCTATTAATTTAGGCTGTGCTGTACTGTGGATTCAAAGCTAGAAGGTGCTTTGGCTTCACAAGGGTTGTGAACATCTATCCTTAAATAGCTGTACCTTCTCCCAAAGTTGTGCTGTCCCAAAGGAAGAAAAAAAAAACAATTTGCTTTCAGAAATTGCAGATGAATGCTGAGTTTACACATCTGGAATCCAAAGCACCCTTTTCTCTTGCTGCACTGCTGCATGCTTTATTTTTTTGCATTTTAATTATAATTGATATAGCCATCCATCTTAAATAAATAACTGTTGAGTGTGAAGAGTTTTAAGACAACTTCTCATCTGAATACTCCCCTTTCAAATGCCTTCTTATGCCTCGGGATCCAATTCCTCCATTCCTTTCTTCTCTTTCTCATCTATTTTCAGATGAAGTCTTTTCTCAGCTAACGAAGTATTTCATGTCAGAACAAAGTCAACAAAATTTCCTTTAGTGTAATTTCGATTCTAAACACCATGTGAGTGATGCTAAACTTGCAATCTTTTCGATTTTGGACTAAAACATACTTGTCTATAGTACTGTAACCAATAATTTAAATATCATAACATAATTAATTTGTGAAATTTTCAAATATCCAAATAGATCAACTAGAACAGATTAATGTATTTGAGTTGTTGTTTTTTTCAAATTAACCTTTCCTGACCTCCCCCATCCCAGATATTTTGGGATTAAATGCTGGCTGGTAATTCTGAAAGATGTACTACCAACACATCTGTGCAGTACTAAATTGTGAGGTTGGTATAAGCCCTTAGCTTATAGCTTTGCCACTTAAGAGCACACAGAGATTTTAATCAACATTCATTATACCCATTATACCCTGCTCCTGGCAGGCTGAGCTAAACATTTCTGACAACCAGAGTACAGCTTCGATTGGAAAGTCACAGTTCATGTACTAACTGAGCATTTTAATTTCATAAGTTAAAGAATTGGCTTCCACTTGCAGATTGCATTAATGTAAGCAGGGCTGTGCAGAGATGTAGGCATGGTACATCAAGAGATAACCGGGAGAATTAAATGCAAAGTCTTTCTTTACTGTTTTCGTTGCATTTTTATCTTAAATTTTAAATGCCTCTTGCATTTGTGCTCATGATTATGTATTTGGCATTACTGGAAAAGGAATCACCTATATCAATCTTTAATGGCTAACTGTTGCCAATAAAATGCATTGTCAGGAAGCTCTTGTGGCCTGTCAGCCACCGGCCTCCCCAGCAGCCAAATCAGATGAGGAGGCATGGGAGTCAGGATCAGCATTAAGGCAACCTGAGAGCTCCGAGGGGGAAGAGGAAACGGAGCTGACAGAGAGAGGTGGAGCCTGGGCTGTCCGTCAACCCTCAGATAGTCAACAGCCCCCAGGTCTGGAGGTGGCTGATGAGGAAGAGGAGGAACAACTGGGTCCAGTGCCTGATGCACAGATGTGCAGATGCACAGAAGGCAGAGGAGAAGAGAGCAGTGGAAATCCAGGGGCCGATCCTTGGGAAGGAAGAGCCACCGCTCTTCCACAAAACCCCTCCCTAGCTCTGGGGATAAAAGGCAGGGGGCAGAGATGAATAGATGTGGCAGACAACTATTCATCTTCCGGATGGACGGACTTGTTAGCCTGCAGTGAGAGAGAAACTATTTGCTGGGGCTTCTGCAGGAGTGGGATTCAAATTTTTTAACAACTGGTTCTGTGAGCGTGGCTAAGTTGGTGGGTGTGGCTTGGTGGTCATGTTATTGGCTGGGCGTGGCCAACTCAGTATCACTCACATTGAGGCACGCATCTCCTCACCTGGCTTTTCATGACTGTGGGGATGCTGCAACAGTCGTAAGTGTGAAAAATGGTCATAAATCACTTTTTTCAGTGCCACTGTAACTTTGAATGGTCACTCCACACAAGCAAAATACCAGCAAAGGAGGGGAAAAAAACTCCAGAGAAGTTCCTGAGACAGGAAGTCTAGTCCTGCCAAGAATGTAATAAAGGTTAACGGAGAGGCAGTTTCTGTAAGCAACCCCAGAATGTTTCCTTACTGACTTCCTTACAGGATTAGACCAGTAATTTCTTTTTAACAACCGGTTCTCCTAACTGCTTAGAATGTTAACAACCTGTTCTAGTGAATAGGTGCGAACTGGTAGAATCCCACCCCTGGGCTTCTGGCCCTCCTAATAAAGGAACCTGTGAGTTTTACTTCAGAGGGTTTGTCATGTTTGAGGAGCTGGGTCAGAACAGAAGCTCTGTATGCTGATAAACTCTGTATGCTGGTAGAATTCCACATAACTTTAAAAAAAAAAAAAAAGATATCAAACTGAAATCCTTCCTGATCCATGTCTTAATTTTTATAATATAACAAACACTTAAAAGATTAGCTGCCCCCAGTCCAGACAAGCCACTCAAGCTACGATCAGCTGGGAAGCTCTATGCTATAGTCCTGTAAGTAAGTCTAACTTGCAGAGAAGTGGAGAGAAGAGGCCCTAGGAACAGAACCTCTATCTTGATACTGACACCTTAATTGTACAATTCTCTTGTGGACCCTGATTGTTAAAAATGCCTGTGGAATAGATCAGTACATGACAGAATGTGACCCTATGCATGTCCGCTCTTTCTTATGCTTTGCATTCATGTCTTATCCTTGCAGGGGAACACTTGAGAATCTGCCCTCAGGAATACACATGTTGCACATCAGAAATGGAAGACAAACTAAGCCAGCAAAGCAAACTGGAATTTGAGAATCTGATGGACAAGACAAGCCATTTTGTCCGCACCACATTTGTATCGAGGCACAAGAAATTCGATGGTGAGTAGCGGACTCTGTTTTGCTTATTCTTAGAAGCGAAGTGTTCTGGTTATTTATAAACGAAATAACTGGGACGTACAGGTAGGAGATTAAAATACATTACTTAATGCTTTCCATCTGAAAAAGATCCATGCAGAATGCAAAATCGTTCAAAGAAACGGCTAGACTATATATTTCTTTCTACCATAATTATACATGCAGTTATATGTGCAGGAAATATATTTTTGTGCTTTTTTTTTTTTAAAAAAAGGAGAAAGTCATTCAGACATTCAGGTATCTTGATCTGCAGTCTTTCTGAAAGTAAATAATGGACTATATTTGGACAGATTTATCTTAGCAAGGCCTACACTCAGCAAGAATGTTAATTGTATATTCAAGGCAATTGGAGATCATACTCAATTGTTGTCCTGGTTAGAGCAAGAGCTTATTTGGAAACTGTCATTTTTTATTTGCGGTAACTGATATTAATTGCAGTAATACAAAGGACTAGGCTGCTCAGACCCTGAAGAGTTGTCTACTATTTGAAACAGTACGTGAAAGTCAATCTATTTTACTGGATAGTTAATGCTTCTTTTCCCTATTATAAACTCTGTTCGGGTGAACAGTGACATTTATATTTTGCAAAAGAAATTATGGAAGTAATGGGAGCTTGGTGAGTCTTTTTGTTGCAGTGCATCTAACTCGTTTCCATCAATATATCAGAATATATTCCCTGTTTATGTAAGGGATCACCTTGGTTTCCTTGCTGCAGGCTTTATAGACTTTTTTCAACCTACAATAAGATTGTCATCCTCAACGTTGAATCTATTTTATGTCGTTATCCCAGGTATCCCATCCCATTTCTTTTTCTCCCTTCCAAAACAAAATAAATTGAAAGAACAATACATGTAAAAAGCAAGAACCAAATTGTGCTTTTGACTTGTCAATAAGATGAAGAATTTCAAGATTTTAATCCTTGGAAAGAGGCTTGGTTCCCAAAGTTACTACATTTATTACCAAATCTTTCACAAGAGCACAGGAATGTGTTCTTTAAAACTCAAAGCAAAGGAGAAAGATAATGTCCTCTGTGCTTTCTGCAGAGATGTTCTCAGTGAATCTTCCATTGCAAAGAGGAGGAGTCATGACAGCTCACCTCATGCATAACTTGCAATGTGGTAGCTAAAAGGAGAATCAGCCTGTGCCCAGGATACAGTAAGATATAATCTGTAGTAGCTGGCTGAATATTTACTTGGGCCATGTTATGGATGGGAATTAGGAATATTGCTGAGCATAAGCAGATCTCATCCTATAAATATAAATATATAAAAGATGTTCCCTCCTGCAGAACAAATGACTGCCAGCATATAATTTTTCTTCCTTCATATTTTGACATTCTTCTGGACCAAATAGAAAAGTAATGTGGCATCAGCATGCAAGATTAAAAACATGTTTCTCTCTTTCAGGGGAGATGAACGTATTTTTAATACTGTCACTTTTCCTAGAGAGTATGCTAAAATTATATAGGAGGGTAGAAAAAGAATGACATTGTGGCAATATGAATAACGCTCCTTAAATTACTCTGTTTTGTTGTTGTTATGACTCAACTGCTAACTGAATTGTTTGACTTCTCCCCCATTGCATAGGTCCTTTTGAAATTTAAGCTCCAATTAAAATCATCTGCTTATCTATTATGCACAACATAAAATAAGTGTCTTTGGATGCAATTATGTACAAATCATAATTTTCTGTTTTATTTTGTCCACTATATGCACAGCAAAGTTTACCTTAAATATTCCTTTACTGTGTCTCAAAATCACGTGAAGGTGGAAAGACAGAGTTACTTATTTCACAGAGAACCATGGTGTTATTTATCATCAGGAAACTGCAATTTCTTCAAATAATTTTGCTAATGGACTTAAGTGACTTGAATCTTATGTAGAAATAGGTTTAATTAGGATAGTTTTTTATGTAAATTATATTTTTTTAAAATGATTAGTATGTCACACTAATGATGGATATGCAATTTTCCAAAGGCCTCTACAAACAGGACTTAAGACATAAGGAACGGTGTTAGAATATGCATGTTTCATTCTACATAGCAGTGGATTTTGGAAAAGTGTCTAGGAAATTAAACTAGAGATTACAAGTACAATTGATCGTTGTCATTTCTCTTAACTATAACAACATCCAAATGGCAGTGAAGATTTGCCAACAGACATAGCCTGAACAGGGTTGATCGAGCATGTATATCACTGGACATGATAGTATTCTTCCAATATTTGAGAGGCTTTCACAGAGAGGAGAGGTCTACCTATTCTCCAAAGAACCTGAGAGCAGGAGAAGAAGTAACGGATAGAAGAAACTTACCAAAGAGAGATTCAACCAAGACAGTGGTGGGATTCAATTCTTTTTTACTACTGGTTCTGTGGGCGTGGCTTGGTGGGCCTGGCAGGGGAAGGATACTGTAAAATCTCCAGTCAGAGGCGGGATTTTCCGGTTCTCCGAACTACTCAAAATTTCTGCTACCGGTTCTCCAGAACTGGTCAGAACCTGCTGAATACCACCTCTGAACCTAGAATTAAAGAGAAATTTCCTGACAGAACAATTATTCAATGGAACAGCTTGCCTCTAGAAATTTTGGGTGCTCCATCACTATAGATTTACAAGAAGTTTCCATTGATTTGGAATGGTATATAGTCTGCTTGAGGAGGGAATTGGATTATAAGACCTCCAACTCTGTTATTCTGTAATTTTAAACTCTAAACTCATTCATACTTGAAAATAATATATCTCAAGAAAATTCTACGTTGAGATATACCAGTATGTCAACCAGCCTAGTCATTTTGAAAACAGGGGCTTAATGGAGAATATGTGTTACATTCTTCTGGCACTTTGTCATCACACAGGCAGTAAGGGTATGTTCCAAAAATAGAGGGAAAGAGCTAATGGCAGGTCAGAGAAGGAACTAAACTAAACTGTTGTGGCTGCCCTTTCCCCAGGCTGACAGTTAGCCCCTCTACAAAAACGTGGTTGCTACAAGTGTTAATTGTAGTTATTTAGTCTCAAAAATCATGTCAAGTACTTTCTGTATCATATTTTATAATAAGGTAGACTGATACTTTTCCATCTCTTGCAATATTTTTGAGACAAAGGAATATTCTCCTTGCAACAGAATTGACTTGTGATTATTTCTGTTTTTGTTACAGGTGGAATCAATAATTACAGCTCGTATTCCACCTAGGCTATATCTTACCTTAAAGCAGCTTACAATATATTATCCATCCGGTAATAATGGTATCTTATTATCACCGATTGCTTATAAGTGGTGGCTTTGATGAGCAGCTGTTTTGCAGCCAAACCAATTTTTTTAAAGTATTGCTCTATCAGCAGTTGAAACCCACCACAGCAGAAAGAGTTGTGCCATGAATTTTAATGAGCAGGCAGTTTCTGTTCAGTGACATTTCTTAACTAATCCTCTGAATAATATAGGCATATGAAGGTATTCTGATTTTTCTACAAGGAAAAAAACCATTACATGGAAGCTGGATTTCAGTCTTGTTCCCCAATAGAAAACACATTTAAATATTACACTTGTTGAAAGCTTAGTCTGGTAATGATAAAGATTGGGTTTCCACATCGTGCTAAGCCATAATATGGTCATTCAGTACACCATACTTAAAGACATTATGTAGTATGAAGTGCAATCGGAGCCAAAAATAAATTACATTGCTCTATGTCAGGGTTTCCCAATCTTGGTAAATTCTCCATGCCGGCTGGGGAATTTTGGGAATTGAAGTCCGCAATCTTAAAATTGCCAAGATTGGGATATTCTGCTCTATCTAGATCAGGGGTGTCCAACCTTGGCAACTTTAAGCCTGGAGGACTTCAACTCCCAGAATTCCTCCAGGCTTAAAGTTGCCAAGATTGGACACCCCTGATCTAGAGCTTGAATGCCTATAGGTTTCTGATAGATGATTGATGGTTGGAGGGTAAAAAATATTGGAGCTTCTCACCTCTGACATTTTTATTAAATCCATGGATATGACCAAGCCAATATGATAATCAAACACAATCTCTGTCAAAGATATACATTATACATTTCTAAATTTACAGAAATTAAGATGGGAGAAGAGAATGTAATGCACTTTCCAGTTCAATCATTTATGTGCACTTCAAACTCACCGGTTTGTGAATTTAATGTAACATTAAGGTTGCTGTCTATCATTAAGGGACACGTGCAGAGCAATTAAAAAGGTCAAAATGGTGCCATCTGTAATGCAGCACATATAAAATGAAATGGTGGAATCCAGTCCTAATTTAGGTTATACATTAATGTAAACCTGTTAAAGTCTTGGGATTTAAGAGCCGACCAGCAGTGAAGCTGATGCAATATAGGCTGATACAATAATCAGCATAGTATGGGTATTTCCCTTTAAGACTGGAGATGGGTTCTACCCCTTTAAGAGGTGTTTATATAAAGGCAGAAATTAGAGGGTGTGTCCTCTCTCCTTTGTCCAGTATTCATTGCAAAGTTCTCCGTGTAGAGTTAAGAAGAAGAAAGATTGCTTGTAAGGTATTTTGCCTACCTATATATTTCTGTATATAACTGTTGTGTTGAAACCACTGTTAAATGTCTTAACTCTCTGTGTGCTGTGTTTTGCTTCTGGATTGTCTCATAATAGCAGTCATGCTGCAAACGCTCTGACAAAACCATTGCATTCAAAGTATCGTAACAGAAGTTACTTCAGGTTATTTTGAGCAGTTTATAGCATGCCTTGTTCCTTTCCCCTTCTATGAAACCTGATTATTACCTAGATTCAGTGTAATTTTTTTTTTCATATGTAATATTTGATAATCTCCTTTTGGTTAATTAACCTCCATTAGAGACAGAGAAATAGAGTTCTGGCTCTTTATGACTGCTTAGGGTGAGACTATATTCAGAGATTGCTGAAGTTGTATTTTCATATATAAACACATTTTATAATTAGGCTGCATCTATTAAACGGAGTCAGTTGTTAAAC